TGGACCGTCTTGGAGGCTTCTTGGGGACCTCTTGGCCCGTCCTGGGGCCCTGTAACAGAACTCCGGCATCTCTGGCCCGACCTTGCCGGGGACTTGCCGGGACCTTGCCGGGGTACTTTTCGTCCGGGGACCCCCAGGGGCCGCCCCGCGCGTGCGAACTAGAAATGCTGTTAACCAGGTGCCGGAGATCTTAGCACGCCCTGGCCCGTTGGGCCGGCGAATTTAGGGTTCCTTAGGTCAACGCCCCGACTGTAGTACAGTCCCCGCGGGGCGCGAAACATCTTCTGCAATCGTGCGCGCCAGGGGGTCGGCGCCGCCGAGGGGATCGTGCACCCCCCTGCATGACAGCCTCAGAACGACTGGCCTCTCGTATAGAAGTTTGGATAGGGGTCGTACACATCCGAGGCGAATTTCTTTCCCCCTCTCAGGCGTCGTCATCGTCTTCGTCGCCGCCGCCGTCGTCTTCTTCGTCGTCCTTGACGACGACGTCTTCCTCGTCGTCGTCGACTACAGCGGGCCTGCGCAGCCCCCCCCTTACGGCATCCGCAGTACGTCGTCGTCGTCACCGCCGTCTGCCGTCCGACGTCCGTCGTCCTCGTCATCGTCCCATCGTCGTCGTCGTCGTCGATGTCGTCGTCGTCGTCGACGACTACAGATACCATGACAGAGAGGGGGGAAAAACTGCCTGCCTTGCTCGGGTCGGACGAAAGCTGAATTAGCAAGGAGGGGGTGCGAAACTTGCTGCGCGCGGCTAGTTTCGGTCGCCCCGCCGCGGGGTCAGCCCTCGATGCATGGCCGCTTTCGGCGTCGGGGCGCGCCCGGAAAATCAGCAATGTGAGTTGCTGGGCAAACTCCCTCTTGGCCACGCCCCCCTTCCGTCCAGCCCGCTTTGCTCGCGGGCCCGCGAGGCAGCTGGCGCCCCCTCTGGTTGCGGCCAGGGCAAAAGAAGCGCATCGGTTCGACAGGCAAGAGCACGGAAGGTGCGGGGGCGAGCGCCGACAGCACTTCTTCTTCATTTCAAACAGGTGTCGCCCTGGCTCACGGTCCTTGTTTCTGCCGCCTTTGCCTCCCGCCCCCTCCCCTCCCCAAGTTTGTGTTGTCTGTGGCCTTGTCGTTGGCGGCCATGCGTCGGCGCTAATCACTGGCGCCTCCCCGCTGATTTTCAATCAGGCGGGCGCCACCCCGCAATTCGCACGAGCAATCGAATTATTTGTCTAAACGCGCGCCCCCATGGATTTGTTAATCACAGGCTGACGTTCAGTCGGGCCCGTGCTTTTGAATATGTCTGACGATGTTTGGTATTTTGGCGTATATTGAAAAGTCTTTCGTCCAAAAGCCGCCTGTAGGAGGTCACGCCCGACCTAGAGCTGCCGCCAGCGCCGCCCGCCGAGGTGGCCCGGGAGCTGGAGGACGAGACCCCCGAGCGGCGGGCGTCGGGCTCCGCCCGCCGCCCTCGGCCTCGGCGCCTCCGAGCCGTCGTCGTCGTCGTCGTTGTCGTCGTCGTCGTCGTCGTCCGCGTCCTCGTCCTCGTCCTCGTCCTCTTCGTCCTCGTCGTCCTCGTCGTCCTCGTCATCGCTGTCGTCCTTGTCCCCGTCCCCGTCCTCGTCGTCAGCCTCGTCCTCGTCGTCGTCCTCGTTATTGTCGTCCTCGCTGTCGTCCTCGGAAGCCTCGGCCTCGGCCTCGCCGTCCGCCGAGGAGCACACAATGATTCGTTCAGCCTTCAGCGACGATACCAATGGGACCGAAGTATATGATCAACATCGGCTCGGGGAGAGTACCTTGGTGTTCTTCGTGCTTGTCGGGTGCTCTTGTGCACCGTGTGGAGGGTACCCCTGGATGTTCTGTGTATTTTGGCCGGCGGAGCGTCTTCACGTTCTTGAAGGATTGTCTTTTGGCTTAGTTCCGAAATACACATATATAGATTGGCGTTTACCCCATCCCCACACCATGCCTGGATTGTGGGCCATAGGCCTCTAGGATTCTTGTTGGGATGCCGCGGGGGGCCTCTCGGGGGCCTGTTGGGGGCCGTTTTGGGGCCTCCTGGGGCGCTTTCGGCGCCTCTCGGAGGTCCCTTGGGACCTCTTGGGGTCCTCTTGGGGCCTCCTTGGGGCATCCTGGGGAGGGCGAAAGACGTGGATGTTCGGTTCGTGTTCTCCCTCTTGGGCCCTTCTTGGAGCTGTCTTTGGGCTCTGTTCGACCGTCTTAGGCTCCTCTCGGGCCGTCTTGGAGCCCTCTTGGGCTGTGTTGCGGCCATATTGGGGCGGTCCTGGGGGCCTCTTGGGCCATCTTGGAGCGTCGGGAGCTCGAAAAGCTGAGGACCCCGCAAAACAATGGTACATCTATGATGTTGACCTCTGAGGGCCTTTTGGATGCCTCTTGGAGGCCTCTTGAGCCAGCTTGAGGTCATAGTGGGCGTCGTGGGACGGTCTGTGGACGTCTCAGGGCCGCCTTGAAGGCCGCTACGGGCCCTCTTGGCCCGCCTTGGGGACCGCTTGGGCCCGAAAAAGCATTGCGGGACCCCAGGGAGCATGCCGCTAGCCCTGGGAGATTTGGCAATTCGGGTGTTGTGTCCCTTACAGGCTCCCCAGGAGTGGGGACTGAGGCTCAAGGAATTTGGCAAATGACCTGAGGACACGCCCACTCCGTGCCCAGCGGCACGGTGGCTTATATATTTGTATGCATGCAGATGCGTGTGTAGGGTTCGAAGGCGTGTTTGTGTTCTCTCTTCTCTCTCTCTCTCTCACTCCCGTTTCTCTTTCTCTTTATCTATGTATATAGGTTATCACCCAAATCTGTATTCACCATACGCATAGTTCGTGTATCTCTCGGCGTGTGCTCGTGTGCGTGTTCATGTGTTGTTTTACATGTGTATCTATTCATATGTGTAAACAATATGTATATCGGAGACGCCCACGGCGAATCACCGCCGCCCTCTGCCTGTTGGAATCGCCCATGTGGCCGAGCGTTGCGGCACGATCTCTGCCAATCTATCGGACCATGTTCCCACAGCCGTTGTGGGGGCACCCTTCGGAAAACATTTGGGGGAGGATGGCGGGGAAGATCAGGAGGAGGAGGAGAAGGAGGCATCTTGGGAGCCTCTGGGGGCACTCTTGGGGCCTCCTGGGAGCTTCCTGGGAGCCTCTTGGAGGCATCTTGAGTGTTTTTGGGCCACTTAGAGCCCCTGGGGGCTTCTCGGGGGCTTCTTTGGCTGTCTTGGGATATTCCTAGCCCGTCTGACGCCGTCGGAAGCCGCCTGGGGGGTCTCTCTACGACTTGGATCACTGATGGGGTGCTCGGGCCGTCTTGGAGACCATCTTGGGCGCCTTGGAGGCCTTTTGGATTTTTCTGGGGCCATCTTCGAGGCCTCTTGGGCGATCTTGGGGCGATCTTTGAGGGCTCTTGGGCCGTCTCGGGCCCTCGCAAAGAAGGAAACGCCCAAATGGAGGGCCCTCTTCGAGGCCTCTTGGGCCGTTTTGGGCATCTCTTGGGGCGCCTTGGAGCTCTCTTGGGCCGTTTTCGGACCCTCTTGGAGGCCTCCCGGGCCGTCTTGGGGCTGTCTTGGAGGCCTCTAGGACCGTCTGGGAGCGTCGGGAAGCCGAAAAGGCAAGAACGCCAACACCTGTCAAACAACAATCGAATCACAAAAGTTTGCCGCTCGGGGGGCCTCTTGGGGGGCCTCTTTGGGCGTCCTGGAGGCCCCTGGGGCCGTCTGGGCGCCATCTTGGACGTCCTCGAGCGATCGCTCGGCGGCTCGGGCCCCTGTGAGACCGTCTCGGGGGGAGGAGGGAGGAGGGAGGAGGAGGAGGAGGAGGAGGAGGAGGAGGAGGAGGAGGAGGAGGAGGAGGAGGAGGAGGAGGAGGAGGGAAGGAGGAGAGGAGGAGGAGGAGGAGGAGGAGGAGGAGGAGGGGGGGCCTCTCGGGGCCTGCTTGGGCCCGCTGGAAGTTCCCGCGGCGGCGCGTCCCGGAGCCCATGGGGGGGCACACGGGAAGCCCCCGATGGGGGCGCGCGGCAGGCCCCAGGAGATGTTTGTGAGTTTGCGGCCTGGACCCCGGGAGGAAGCAGGAGGGGAAACAGCACACAGACACGATGCATCGTCGATTCCCAAGAAGATATATGGAAAATATGGGAACTGGGGGGAGAGGCCCCCCAGGAGTGAGGAGTGAGGCTCGAAGGATTGGGCCCAGGACCTGTGGGCACGCCCACTCCGTGCCCAGACGCACGGCGGCGGGTGTGTAGATCCAGGGTCGGGGAAAAGACACACAGACACAATGGATCGTCGATTCCCAAGAAAAGGCGGGAACATATGGGAATCTGGGGGGGGAAGACAAAAGCCCAGAAAAGATTGGAAACTACGTGGACGTTTTTTTAAGTGTGTGTATGTATCCACTTGTGTGTCCCAGGGCCCCTTCAAAGAACCCCCGGGTGTGAGGATGGAGGCTCGGAGGACTGGGCCCGGGACCTGGGGGCACGCCCGCTCCCCAGACGCACGGCGGCGGGTGTGTAGATCCAGGGAGCGGTGGTGTCGTATCGTGCCTGCTGTATCCTGCCTGTGTTCTCGCCAGGCTTGTCGTGCGGTCCTCGGCCGGTCTGGCCTCTCACTCCCCCACACTTTGTGTCCCTTCTTTCCCACCTCTCTCTCCTCTCTCTCTCTCTCGTTATCTCCCTTCCTCCGCTCTCTGGGTCTCTCTTCCTCTCCCTCTCCCACGCATATTGTTTGATTGAGTATTGTTTGTTCTCGCTCTCTCTCTCTCTCTCTTTCTCTTTCTCTCTCGATCTGTATTTATGTATGATGTATGTACGTATGGTCGTATGCATATACACACAGTTATGTATGCATACCAGTGTGTATGTCTGTATGTATGTATATACATATGCAAAAGCTTTAACATATATATATATATGTATGTATGTATGTATGTATGTATGTATGTATGTATGTATGTATGTATAAGCTGGTGTTGCTCTGCCGCCCTTCTTTGTTTCACCCTCGCCTCCGCAAGGACGATTCCGACGACGAGCACGACGACCCCCGCCGGATGGAGCGCACCATGGACCGCCGCCGTCCCCGAGGGCAGCGCCCCCGCGCTGAGCGCCGAGAGGGGGCGAGGAACAGGAGATTGAGGAGGAGGAGGAGGAGCAGGAGGGAGGCAGATGAGGGGGAGGAGGAGGAGGAGGAGCAGGCGGGGGAGGGGGAGGAGGAGGAGGAGGAGGAGGAGGAGGAGGAGGAGGAGGAGGAGGAGGAGGAGGAGGAGGAGGAGGGAGGAGGAGGAGGAGGGGAGGAGGAGGAGGAGGAGCAGGAGGAGGGGGAGGAGGAGGAGGGAGGAGGAGGAGGAGTGGAGGAGGAGGAGGAGGAGGAGGAGGAGGAGGAGGAGGAGGAGGAGGAGGAGGAGGAGGAGGAGGAGGAGGAGGAGGAGGAGGAGGTGGAGGAGGAGGAGGAGGAGGAGGAGGAGGAGGAGGAGGAGGAGGAGGAGGAGGAGGAGGAGGTGTGTTGAAGTCGATCTCATCATCCTGGAAGCGTCCAGCAATTCGGGAGGTAAGGACCCCGTGTACACCCGTCTCTGGATCTGCCAGAAGTTGAACAACGCTTTTGCCGAAGATGACCAGGTCACGTATCTGGACAGAACAAGCGAGATTGAAGAGTTCGATTTCACTGGCCCCACGCAGATTTTGGTCGGTGTGAGGTGCCTGGAACCTACGCACCCTCTTCTAGCTCGTGCTGGGTGGTCGGCGGCAGAGATTACGCCAGGTGGTGATCTCAAACGTGCTGTTGAAGGACCTCTTTCAGCCAAGTATCCTCAGTGCGCCACGTTGGCCGAACATCATGGCCACTCGCAGGGCATCCGTCATTTGTGGCGAGACCCCACTGATCCAGATGCAGATGCTGATTTGTTCGCCGACTGCCAAGCGCTGCTGACAGGATGTGCCTTTTTTTGTTCAGGGTTCTTGATGTCACATCGCAGCAGGCGGGCCACTAGTGCAGTACCCAGCGGCTACACAGGCAGATCACTACTCAAAAGACTACGGCCCACCAGACACTCCAGCGAGGAGATCGTGAATTGGCCGAGCATCTCAGAGTCATTGGCAATGTTTGGGCTGACGCCGCTTGTAAAGAAGCAGCTGGAGAGTATTCCACCCCCCAGGATGCCGGCGCTTGCAAGGAATCAATCGATGGTTGGTTTGCCGTTTTCAAGGTTGCGGTCTCCAGTCTCGAGTTGTGGCCTACTGCCCGAGACTTGCGCGGAACCCGGCACGAGCACCCTAAAAGTGTAAGGGCAGCCCCCCGTGCCCATCGTTTGCGCGACGTTTTGTGGAATGGTCGTCTCTGGCAGTGTCCAGGTTGTGCGAAGAATTTCGAATCACCCCCATCTCGTGTGAAGAGTTGCTCGGCCTTCTCACCCGCTTTCGGAGGCCTGCCGAGGGGCTGTAACGTAGTTGAGCCTGAGCACGATCTGTGGGCCACCAGAACGGAGAGCCCAAGCACCCCCGATCTCTTGAAGTGTGGCTCTTGTTGCTCGAAGGCCCCTCAGCACCTGCTGGGGCCCTGCACCCAGGTTAAGTAGGGGGCCACACGCGAACCCTACCCCTACCCCCCACGATTTCTGAGGGGGAGGGGGGGGGGTCACTTCGTTCAGGAGCTCCCGAGCGAAGTG